GACATTTTGTCAATTTCGGTATTTTTGTTCAAATTTTGAAGAAAAGCGTTAAAATCTCGGCTCCTATAGGTCGGAAATGAATGTGCTCCGGGTCAAATCAAAGTTTGGGGTCTAGGGCAGGTCTCCACAAAAAATCACGCTTTTTATATCTTTTGCCCTTTTTTGGTGGTATTCCAGGTCGAACCGCTTAGACTATCGCGGACATTGTCCTCACCAGAGGTAGAATTTGTTAGATTGGGGGATGACTGCAGCTCTAGTCCGCTAGGCTCATTGTCTGGTTCATCTACTGAAAGTTCCTCAGCTGATTGCATATCTGAGCCATCAAGTGTACCTTGAGTGGATTCAGAATCTGATGATTGGCTTTGGGTGTCCTCATTAGCCTGGTAATCAGTCACAGGTGCTGTAGAGCTCTTCTCTACTGGCGCACCAGTTATAGGTCTGCATCCTGGTGGGGCACGGATCCACACAGAATGATCAAGCCAGTACACGGGTCGACTGTTGTGAACTGCCTGCACAGGAGGCCCAGAAGTGAGGGTGACTAAGCCAGGGTTACCCGGAGGGGAACCCATAATCGTGAGAAGTTTGGCACCAAATAGTGGCCCCTTGAGAGACGCAATATTACTCTGCCCAGCAGCAGAAATCATATGAGGGTGGGAGATATCTGGAGAGGGGGACGGGCCACTGTGCAACTTGGGGTAACATGTTCCTACCGTGTGGCTGGTGGACCACCTGGATTGCTCAATGACTTGTCGAGAGCTTTCACTGTGCTCTGGAGGTTGTTCACCGATTCCTATATTGCTCCTAGATCCATTAGAGGAAGGCCAGTTGACTTCCCAGCACGAGGTTGCAGACTCCCCTCCTTGCCGCGAGGCGCTCCCTTCCCTCCTCGAGTGGATTTGCTCCATGTTGAGGGGATTCTGATTTGGGTGGTCACATTGTCGGCGCGGAAGAGGAGGCTCTTCTTGTCCCTTAGGAACTTCTTCCCCCACCCTCGCACCGGGCGACTGTACTGACGGACAGATGTTGCAAGCGCAGAGACTGGGTGGGAGGTTGGGGCACCGGGGTCCATGGTCTGGTCCAGAGCTCCAGGCATCACTTTCGTCGGCCCCTGACTCGGTATGGGAAGTGTCACAGTCGGTTGCCCGAGAGGGGGGGTTAAAACTGAGTGCCCCTGTTGGGTCGGGGCAGAAGTGAGCTCCGGTGACTTAAGTGATGACAGGAGTTCTGAGAGTTTTATGTTTGAAGCATGAAGCTCTCTTAGTTGTTCCTGCATGCTCGAGAGCATCTGGAGGACACTCTGGTTCTCACTGTAAAACGAAGAGTGACCTTTCTTTCCCGAATAGAGCGACGTATAGCCGTCATCGCTCTGTTAGAGCGATTTTTGCGAAATGACTCAACATGAGTCTTCTTCGTAACAGAAAATGTCGCAGAAACGACCCTAAACGAGCGACGTTTGGGAAAATGACTCAAAATTAGTCTTATTCGTAACCAAAAATGTCGCGAAAAGTTATTGCAAACGAGCGATGTAATTAATATCGCTCTCCCAAGAGTCGTCAAATTGGCTTCACTGATATCGCTCTCCTGGGAGCGAAAAAGGTCACTCCTTTACTTGTAGTGCTGAGCCATCAACACCCGGGTGGCAGTCTCAGTCTGGTTGATTCTGCTAGCCAACCCCAATGCATGGGGAACTAGCATACTTGTGATCATATTCTCCGTGATGGTATTCCCGTTCTGAGCATGGTATGAAGCATTTGGACACTGTGGCCCTGCTAGACAGAACTCGACACATTTCCATTGGTGACAAACGTTGAATGATTGCACCTCGGGAATCTTGAACTGCGACTTGCTTACGCGTGAAGAATCTTCAGAGTCAGACATGATTGTGAACAATGACGTTGCAATTGTGATACACCATCGGACACCATCATGAGACTGGGAATCCGTCGGGTGTTAGAGGCTGTGTGCCAAACCTGGATTGCTGAGAATGCTCCGTATCTAATCAGTCTTGCGATCAACAGCAAAAGTACACTATTTGAGGTTGTTAAAGGGATCCTAATGCTGCCCAGGAGCAATTTGTGGGTTGCACTCACCCAACAATTCATGGTCCTAGCACTGCGAGATGAACTGATGACAGCTTACCCTAGAAGGCCAGGGAATGTAGATACGTTCTGGTCAGGAGCAGGCTTGGGAAAGTTCTTGGTAATCATCAGCGTCGAGTACTTGGAGCCACTAATCCGTCACGGCAAATTCCTTCTCCCACTGCTTTGCTCCACTGCAATATTGTCACCTACTAAGTTGCTTAGGATGTGGGTGCGGTCTGTGGCTCTACATTACTACCATACTGACTTGCCCAAGGTGCAACAAGTGATATCTTTAATTGAGGGGGGAATATCGGCCTCTACCCGGAATGGAGAACTCTCCATGACATCGTTTGTTGGGGTGTACCTGAGTGCTTCTGAGAAGTTCGCTCGGCTACCAGAGTTCAGCAGTGACATTTTCAAGGTGTCTGCTGTGGGAGCAGAGGTGTGGACGCAATCTTCCAACCTGCCTGAACTTCACAATAACAGTCGTTTCTTGGCGAAGGGTTTGACAGAGCACACTGTAATTCCTAAAGGCAACTTTTTTAGCGGTTGCCTTTGTTGTTACTCCCCAGGCAGTGAGAAATCGTGAATGTTGCCCCTAGGGAGGCAACAACCGAAAGTGTCCGGGCTCAAGGCAACATTTGTTGCCTCTGCCGCAAAGTCTGCCTTGCCGCGGGGAAGAATGTTAGTTACCCTTGGCGTAAAGGCAACTTTTGTCGCCGTGCGGGCGGCTACCTTCTAATCCCCGCCTCTGCGGGACAAAAGTACCCTTTGTGTGGTGTTGCCCGCATAGGCGTTGAAAAAGTTTCCTTTTTGAAAGGCGACTATTGTCCTCGTGTATTCGACAAGTTTAGGTGCCGTGTTCAACTGACACTAAGCATCCTCACTGCTGTAGGCCTATTTATTCGTCTCCCCGGAGGGGGAGGGACGGAGGAAGAGGAGGGGGAGGGCAAGCGGCGTGCCCGGCGGTGTCGGGCCGGCGAGACAAAGGCTGGAA